GGGTGAAAGCCGAGGCAGGGAGGATTTTTTTGCTGCACAAACGTGAACCGTCCCGCCTACCTAAGCCTTGCGATATATTTTAAGGAAGCCTTACTACTGTTCTCGTGCTTTAGCCGCAACATACAAAGAAACTCTAAATTTAATCTAAATTTTAGCCCAAGCCCAGGTAATGCAAACCAAATCCCTAACCTTCAATAGAATCCTAGAATCTCCACCATGACCACAATCCCAATCTTAAGCCTAACTCAAAACTTAACACTATTGTCCCAGCGATCGAGTTGTCTTCTTCTCAACCTATCCCCACTGTTATCCTAAATCCAATTCCCGGACTTTGGCACAAAGCCGCCTGCACTGTGGGTGGTTCCCGGTCTCGTGTATTCTTTAGGCAATCATAAAAGTCTTTCTTACCCAAGGCAAGGACCACATTTCTGAGCACCAGTCTAGCAAATTTCTCAGTGGCTCGGCCAGTGATTTTTAATTATCTCAAGTCCAAAATCGAGTTTTTGCGAGACCAGCACTAGATAGCAGTCTTGCTACTGATTAAATCAAACCTTATATGACAGTAATTGCACTTCCTTTTAGGAAGATATTATTGGTTCAAGTCAGCTAATAAATATACTCTGCTCTGACACAATGTATTTAATCTGCAAGAGAAGCCAATTTATTCAAAAAAGTGCTTCTATATAGCGTTTTTGAACACAAACCATCGTTCATTGTCATGCTACTGTACAAGTACCGACAAAAGCACGACTTTTAATCGTAGCTCTATGGTATTACCTTGGATCTGAAATACTGCAGAATCTCTTTTACAAAATAATTACAAAAAAATGTGGCAGAAACCGGAACGCATTAAATGACGATTATTTTTAAACATTCTTTATGACAGATAAAATCTTTCAGTGGTGAGATGGCAATATTAAATAACATGGAATGCATGTACAACCCAGATAGTGCATAGTTTGCGGTTTAAATATCTTATCTTTTTGTTTTCTATCCGCCAAGCTCACGTAGCTTATATCATTTGAAGTGTGTGCGTTTACTGCATCGACTTTTCAAATCCTTTTCAACGTAAGGATGCAATTTACAAGAAAAATTGGTTCGTCCTGTGAATGTCTCGTATTCTTACAAGTAATGGTTACTTAAAATTTGGGTTTCGTTTTGGGTTTATGTATTAAAAGTCAAACAGTTCCTGTATTTTTATACGATAGACTGTGTTGTCGTTTGCGCTCAATAATTGTCAACACAGACCATCTTAACCGAAGGAAACGAGGGTATATCGTATTATACCTTTTGCCGAACGCATGTCTTAATGCTGCTAATCCCTTGCAGTAATTTTAGGTAGTAATGAATCGTTTCGGTTGAATTATATTCTGTTTGCTTATGTGTTTTGAGAAGGCAAATTGTATTGAGGAAATATTTTAACTTCGCGGAAAACGAGTTATTTTTGTGGTACTACGGGCAACAGAAAAAGATCCCCATTTCCAAAATTTTACCCCAATAAAAATTTACCTCTGCTCAATTTTTGACCAGCAAGCTAAATAAGAAAATTTATTTCCAAGACCTAGGAAACTGTCTACTTTCTTACTGGTCGTGCGCAGTTTATTTCGTTTGTTTTTAATTGCTTCGACTCCAGCTGCCGTATTATAAATCATGCGATATGTTATAAACTTTGCGCGTACCCATGAAATTCCCCCGTAATCTTTAATTCGTTTAGCATTTCCGCAACCGTCGAAAATTTAAAAACTAAGCTTAAAGTGGTCTGCCCCCTAAAATTGTTAACATATTAAAGTGTAATAAACCAATTTCTTTAATATTCTCTTGGAACTTTGTTAATGTGTAGTTGGTCTTCTTGTTTATATAAAAAAGTAATTTTGCAACAGTAAATGGAAGATTTTGCAGAATACTAAAACATATATCATAAACGCTGTTGTTTGTGTCAGTATGAGTAATAAGATGATAGGAAATATATGGACACAAATAAAAATTTAAAAAGGACGTCAATCAAATTTTGCGGGTGAAGACACAGCAGTTGTGGAGTCGTCCAAATAGTAATAAAACCTTACTACTCGCTTATCACGACTTATGTCAGTTGTTAAATTTGTCTCAACATTTCATGTTTCATTCAATGCAAATCTAGGAGTTAATAAACGCAATAACTTTCGTTTCGACGTTGAAATAGTACTCACCCAGAACTATCTAGTTGCCGGTTATATTGGAGGTGAATATTCCGGTTGAAAAAGATTGATTATTCCGAACCAGTTTTATGGAAATATTTGTTACTAGCACTTCACGATTATAATCTTTTTTTCTGTGAACACAACTGTTTGGGTGAGCCCTAAAACAGAAACTCGAAGGAAAAACAAGAGTGCCCATTTTCATGCGATTGGCCTTGTGTCACAAATCTTTATTACTACAACGCACTGAGAACAATGGCTGCATTCTGTTTAGATGCTAACATCCTGGCTAGTTTGTCGCATTTATCTTTTTAGTAATAAATGCAAAGTAGAAAAATTTGCTTTAGTAAACTCAGGTTTTAACTCTTGGCTATGAGTGTTTAACTAAGCTCTATGATACTAGAAAGAATCACAGGTTTATTCTGTGTGCTAGCGGTCATAATGATAGACTATTGACTACTTGTTGGTATTTTTCTTAAAAAAGGGCGACCCTGGCATCCCCGGCCATCAAGGTCTTCCTGGATCCATCGGTCCGAGAGGTCCTAGGGGCCCTGAAGGTGTCCAAGGCGTCGCAGGTCTCAAGGGATTCCCTGGTGAACTTGGCCGAAAAGGCATGATGGTAAGTCAATTCGTGGTATTAACGTGTACTACTCATAATTATCCAGTAGGTGTGTATTTGTTCATTAATTACTCCTACTTTCACACTCCCGCATTCTATTTCAGGGTGACAAAGGCCAGCAGGGTATGCCGGGAACCGACGGACTGAAGGTTGGCCCAATAAACTTGGCTAATAATTTTGAAAATATTGTGCCTTCCACAAGTACTTTC